TAAATAAATTGTTCAAGTTTTGTAATGATGGGATTCAAAAGCTATTATCTTTTGAATTGTTTTTATTTTATTTATTTATCTTTTTTTTAGTTTTTACAGTTTAAAACTCACTGCAGTGACCAAAGCTTTGTTTATGAAAGCAATTCCATGGCTAAGCTTTAAGATTAGGCTTTTCCTCCAGGGAATWATTTTTGTAAAGAGCTATTCAATTAGTTGTCCTCGATTAGTGTTAGAAAATCCCTGTTATTTTTGTTTCCTTGGTGTTTTTGATGTCTGCCTCTGTCGGCACAAGAGTGCCACAATGTGTTCAGCATGTCTGCTGTGTGAGAATGCAAGCAGCAATTAAAGAAACATTAAAGGATTTGCTTGACAGTCATCTGGTGTGAGTGGAATCCCRCATTAGTTCAGGCAGAAAAGCTTTTGCATTGCTTTTTAAGAGTTTTTAGAGATATTTTACATGCTGTGACAGGAAGAAACACAATTTTGTACCACAAAAACAAATACTAAGCATGTGCATACCTCAACTATGTTGTTTAACTTTTTATTTCCATTTTATTTTCTGTATTTTTTAAGGTTATTTGTTTTAGTCTCCAAGAAAGAAAGAAAGAAAAAAAAAAGCAGTGGTATTGTCTGTGTTGTAGTAGCTTTAACCTTCCCCCAATATCTGGCACTTTACAAAGAAGTCCTTACTCTGTTGGAGTCAATTCTGTGAGCAAAATATCTCATGACCCACTTGATGGATTTTAATGAAACTTTCAGGAAATGCTTAATGAACTGATCTCTTTTGGGCTCAAGTTAATTCAAGATGACAAGTAGCTGACCAAGTTTACAAAATGGTCAAAACACTGCCAATTTTACAGATATTGGCGTCAATTTTGGTAAGATAGTATAAGCATCATCCCAACGCATACATTGAGCACAGCACATTGTGTGGTGTATTTACTGTTTAAAATTTTGTCATTAATCGGTAGTTTAAATCCGTGGCATGAAAGGCGGCGGGCGATATCCATTCAATGAACGCTTGATTTTTAATTAAATGTCGATTTTTAGCGTCTTTAACAGAAAACAAAAATTTACAAGGCGTACGTGAACGCAGCATTGATTCATTGCGAGGAATGTCAGCCTCGGGAAGCAACTCGGCCTCTGATTGGCCGCGTTGAGTCACGTGTGTATTTCCCAAGCGGAGTTTCCACGACAGCTGGAAGCCGAGCGGCGCATCGGTTCTTTCCCCTAAATAATTTGAAAAAGCCCGACTTCTGCTCGTCTCAGCTCCTTCCAGATTCACTCTGGTCTGGCATGGGCGACAAGAGGAGCCCCACAAGGTAACTACCGCCCGTGTGCCGTCCTAAATGTTTCACACAGGGGAGGGGAGCCGACACAAGCGAGCGCACGGGGGTGAAAAAAAAAAAAAAGGGTTTTCTCCACGGTCTCTCCCTCTCTCGCGCTCTTCGACTGTGTTATGAGCGCGTGCGATGTATCCGCGCGCGGGTGTAAAAGGGAAAAAAAAACTCATCAGCAATTACAGTGTCACATCACCGCGCGCAGATGATTTCCTAATCCTATAGGCAGATGTAATCGATAGTCTCCTCGAAGGGGAGTCAAACTCGTGCCTCGTATTCTCTCCTCCCACATTGCCTCCTCTTTTTCGCCTATTAATTCTCACCCCCTCTCCCTCCCCCTTTTTTTTTGTTTTTACATTTATTGTCTTTTAAAGGCCGAAGCGTCAACCGAAGCCCTCCTCCGACGAGGGGTTTTGGGACTGCAGTGTGTGCACCTACAAGAACACGGCGGAGGCTTTTAAGTGCATGATGTGTGATGTCAGGAAGGGGACATCAACAAGGTAAGGGCGATGGATAAATGTGCGTTACCTTTGATGCGTTGGGCATTAGCGGGCTCCAATGAACGAGGGGGGGTCTCTGGGGGACAACCCCCAGCTAAAAGGCACTTTGATTGCCTTTCTCTCTTATTTCAGTTTTCTTTTTATGCCACTACATGATTAAGCCATACAGTGTGATCGTCGAGTAAATAAGCTTTATTTTCAAGCTTCAACGTGGATWGTGATGCCCTAGTTGTGTTTTATGCTTTTTAAAATGACTTCACACTCCTGCGTACTTTGTGTTATTTTAGTCCATTCATGTATATTTGAAAGCTCAGCTCATCCAGGAGAACTTCCTGTTTATGTAACTTTTAGATTTTATTTCTTTTACTTTAATTTCAAATGTTACATACATAAGATGTCTCCAGTTCCTTCAAAAACATTGTTCACTTTAAAATCTCCATTGTTGTTTTCTTATTTTAAAAGCCAATCTTTTAACTTTTAGCTACCGTTTTGCTACTTAGCCTTATGCTAGCCTTTTGATACATTTAGCATTTAGTTTTGTTTTCTTATTCTGCAAAGCCACCTTTTTAGCTTTGAACTACTGTTTGGCTACTTAGCCTTTTGCTAGCCTTTTGCTAATTTTAGCTTATAGGTTTGTTTTCTTAATCTGCAAAGTCAACATTTTAGCTTTTAGCTACCATTTCGCTACTTAGCCTCTTGCTAGCTTTTTGGTACTTTTTTCTTATTCTGCAAAGCCAACTTATTAGCTTTTAGCTACCATTTCGCTACTTAGCCTCTTGCTAGCTTTTTGGTACTTTTTTCTTATTCTGCAAAGCCARCTTATTTTCTTTTAGCTACCATTTCGCTACTTAGCCTTTTGACAGTTTTAGTTTTTTATTTTTTTAACACAGGTGTATTATTGTGCACTGCATTCTGTTAAGACGTTCTGCTTGTTAGCATATTTACTGATGTAAAGCCCTCATTAACACACCTGTGCTTTACCAGCTTCTTTGAATTTAAATGTTATCAGTGAAATAAGCTTTTATTTATATTTAGCTTTTAGCTATTCATTTGCTACTTTTAGCTTCTACCCAGCCTAGTACTCGTTCTTAATTAACCTTTTAGCTTTTAGCTAGCTATTTGCTACATTTCTCTTCCAGGTAGCATTTTTATACTGTATGCAAACCTTTTACTCATTTGGCATTTAGGTAACGTTTTATTGTTTTTTACTAGCTTTTTGCTTTTAGTTAGCCTTTTGCTATTTTTGGTTTATTTAATTGTTTATTTAAATTAGACTATGCACATTAATGAGCTTGTGTTTATCCTGTAAATGAGCCACATTTAACCAAGAGGACTACCGTAATTTTCATCTTTGGTTTTTGGCTGGTTGATGATAAGACACATAAACGGAGTAAGACAAAGTAGCATTCTTAAACAAAAGCTACCCACAGTGTGTAGGATTTGTTGTTTTCAGCGACATCTAGTGGTTGAGTGGTTGAATCATCCTCCCTGGTCCTCCCCCCACCCCCACCCCCACTTCCATACACAAAGGAGTTGCTACGGTGTCTCTCAGGTGTCAAAAACCTTTGATAATTTCAACCGCGACGTCTACCAGCAGCTTCAGGACTAGTGATGTTTCAAGTGGTAAGATTATGAGCTTTAATAAGTAAAATTATCCCAGCTACAATGACAGACAACAAATATTACATTTATAGTATTACAACTAAAACCGTTTTTGACGCCGCCACCGCAGTTTGTCCTTCATGAGCCTTCGTAGACAAGATGGCGGCTGCCTGTGTGGCAACCCGCGACCATGGARATATAAACAGCTTTTTATAAGGTAAAAATAATAATGATTAGACATGTTTTTTATTATAGTCATTAGTGATTATCTCAATTTCGGCTAAAAGAYGACAAAATCCTACACACTGTGCCTTTTAAAGGACATAGAAGTACAATGAAGTGAGTTTAAATAATTTTGCACATATACAGGTTAATAATGATCACCGGTTTGATGTCTCATAGTGTAATACTATAGGTGTATACTTTTAGTTTGTTTTCCCCAGGAGATAATAAGCAGAAAGGAAAACTCACACTTAAATTAATGGCACAAATGGTGCACACTAGTGCTGATATTTCCCCCTGACATCTGTGATTTCAAGCAGGAAATTACAGTTATTCCTGAGTGGCGGCCATTATCAGGAGGAAAACACAACAAAAGAGTAAAAAGCAGAGGAAGTGCAGCTCGGTGTGTGTTGTTATATGATCTTTAACGCACCACTAATTACTCTCAGCTGCATCTGCACAACTTTCCCAATGATTAAGCGACAACGGATCTTTGTGTTATTTTTTTTTTGTGTGTGTGTGTGTGTGTTAGAGAGAGATTCTGTTTATGTCTTTGTGAGTGGGAGGGCTAGTTGTGAAAAGAGGTTCTCAGAGCAGCTGCCAGACAGACAGCCATAGCTCATTACTATGCAACAGCTTAATCAGCCTGCTGTCTGAGGGGGCAAACACATGCACACACTCACGCCCAGATGCGCCCATCATGCAGATTTTCAGCATGACCGCATGCATATTCCTGCACACACACGCGCACACAAATGCTGGAGCGCACGGTTGTCGGCGTTGACTCTAAGCAGCAGATACGCCGCTGTCACTCTGTCTGCGTTGTTGCAGCTGAGTGTTGATTTTTTGAGGACACTTCAGCTCTGCCAAGAACTTGTCTGAATCCTCAAGACACCAAAAGCTGTCACATCCTTTGTCTTCCCCATCTGGACATTTTTTTATAGGGGGGGGAAGATGGCAAGGACACGCGAGCACAAATCCCTCTCCACAAATCCGCAGACGCTCGAGCGACAAATTTAGAAAATGTCCGCGAGAAGGTCTTGTTTTATGTCAACAACCTCCTGCCTTTCCAAACCGAAGTGCTGCAGAAATACTGTAATAGTGTGGTTGTGCTTTTGCAGGAAAAAAAAAACACAAATCAGGTTGGGTTGCAGCAAAAATAAAAATGGCCACACAGGTGGTCACAGTTGTTCGTGACCAAACACACCCCATAAGTGGATTTCTCCGTGAGCAAGAAAGGTGGTAAAGGGCGAACAACATGCAGAATATAAATGTGGGACACAGCAAATTCCTATTACTAAATAAGCATGACAGAGCTATTGCTGCAAAGCGATGAATTATAGCTGCACAGGGGCACGGGGGTGACCACTTCTTACAGGAAGTGTCCCACAGCAGCTAATGTGGGCTCTGATACAGTAGCTTCAACCAGCTTATCATACTGTCAGCTCATAGACTGTTTTTTTTTTCTTGTTCAGACATGAAGATGAATGTTTTATGAAGGCGAGCTTTAGCAGATCTTGCAGCCTAGATTCCCGCGATGTGGTAAGATGATCTACTGCAGGGGTCCAATACCAGCGGCTGATTGAAACCAGGGTGTCTGTGATTCCCACAGCATCCAGCAGAACCGGACCTGTCTCAGTAGATTACAGTTTGACTGTCAGCTGCTTGATGCTTCACTAATTCTGTCAGCGGCTCAGAAGTCAAACCTCACGTTTTGCAGGTTTTGTTTTTTGAATCTCCTTCCAGGGGGCTTTTTAGTTTCTGCAAAACCTGACGCAGTCATTTCTGCAAATTAATCTTTAAAAAAATGCTCCTTTACTGCAGAGCTGCGAGCTCACAGTACTTAATTAAAGCAGTCTTGGAGGAGACGACATATCATGCAGTCTAATTATATTAAGACTTTGCTAAGAAAAAGTGGGAGAGACATTTTATCTTCCTTGTGAGTGTTGGGCTCAGACCCAGCTTTTGAAAACAGGCGCTGCTGCAGATGGAGGTCACGGTGCAGCGGTAGGGTTGTGCTACTTGGAGAGCTTATTTGATAACTGAAAGGCATCCATTTTTCCCCCCTACAATAGCTGTAATACCCAGGACCTTGAGACCTTAAGCAAAGCACAAAAGGCCTCCCACTGCACCTAATGTGACTTGCTCAAGATTAGAAAATCTTTCTATCACTTTAAGAATTCAAGGAAAACCATAAGACATGTTAGAGTTGGGTCTCCTGACTGATATCTGGGGGAAAAAACTAAAAATGTCCCAAAAAGTGATGCTCAAAGAGTGTTAAACCTAAAAGCTCTCCTTAACTGAACACATTAGATCCTATTAGGCATGAGGCACTCATGTAAGCAGGGGGATCTTTTTTATTATTCTCATACAAACCAAACTCTTTAGAAATCAGTTCAGGAATGGTTGCATTCTAAATCAATAATTATAGACGTCTTCTCTCCTAAAATTTGGTATAATAATACAAAACAAACACTGAATTTACAGTTAACATTCCTTGTGTTACAAAATTCTTCATACATATGGTAAATGCCATTTTACCAAACCCCTCCCACTTGGATTGCATTAAAAAACAAAATAAAGTTCCTCAGCTTTTATTTTTTTTGTTTTTTTTTTTCCCCTGATGTTTCATATGTTAAAATTAGCCTGGCTCTTGCCTTCCTATGCAGCTCCGCTCAATCCTAGTTTCCCTTCACTGCTCCGTCTGGCATTTCTCCCACAGACGAGGATTTCGCTGGCAGATTTTTAGCCGAACCAATCAGAGAACAGAACGTCGATTTTCTGCGCAGTGTCAGCTTGTAGTTTATTTTACCTGGGCCAATCAGCAAAAAGAAGGAGGAGTTTTGAACAACGTCGATTTTCTGCGCAGTGTCTGCTAGTTATTTTAGCATACGGCAGTGGAGGAAGTGAATGAAGCCAGTCTGTGTTGATAAGGCTTCCAAATTAAATTAAATTTGTCTGACAAAGCAGCAGCTCTCATTTACAGTCGTCTCGTTCAGCTCGGTACTTTTCTCCTCTCAGTAGGGTTAGCGCACGCGATTTCCGGTTAGCGTCTTAGCTTAGCCTCCTTCACAGCAACACACACACTTCAGCAGAGGCCACGCCTCCAGCAAGAATCGCTTCTTATAGCAGCGAGTCCAGACCCTCTGTACGAAGCAAAGTGAAGAACAAGGGTC